AAGGCACGGGCTGCCAGGTGGACTTAATGGGCACAAAATAAAATCATCTCTGAACACAGTGCTCTGTATGGATGGACAAAGGGATGAATGGATGGACAGCCTTGTGTGCATAAATCATATGATCCACATAAAACCTGCTCAGAATTACAGTTTTATTTGTGACAGTGCTTTCAATTATCCACAAAAATGACTATTAACAACTACTGCAAGATAATCAATGAAGACTTTTGATAAAGAGAACAGGAACAGTGACAACAAGTAGCTAAAAAAAGAGCACTAATATTGTGGCAATATTTGCAAACTGAGTAAAGAGCTGGGTTGATTGACTAAAAGTCTCAAGGTATCACATTGGTGAGGTAAATTTAAATCGTATCTTTACAAAAGGATAAAAAGAGCTTCCCGCTGGACACACCACCCACTTTGGGACTTAGTAGCTCAGTATGGGTATCACCACGAGTATAATAGTACTACAACCCTTTCCAGTACTGCTTATTTATGCAGCACTTTAACACTGCTCTTGTCAGCCCCGTAAAAACAGAAAAATGACATCACAATTTGATTTTTCATCAAAAACTATCCAGCAATATAGAAGAAAATCTATATCAGAATAAAAGCAAGTACCTGATACTACCTCTCTTTTACCCTAAACGTTATACTCTTTTCCAGCTCCCTATTTGTCTTCACGATTCACAGTTCAAAATAATCCACACTATAATTCATCCACTACCTGAAACAACCAGTTTTTAACCCAGGAAGTAGAGGCCTCCACCAAACAAACTCACTCAAGTGGCTTAAAACAAATGTTCACCAGGGAGGACAGCAGGATCCTTGACTGTGTTGTTGGGTTGGAAGCCCACACACATACAGACCAGTACCTACTCTCTGACTCCCACCACCCTGTGAAACACAACGTTGAGGTGATAAGGAGCCTACAACACCAGGCAGAAAATATTTCCTCTAAGGAAAAAGGGAAAGAAAAGGAACACACACTTAAAGAAAGCTCTTAATAAAACATGGTTATCGCAACTGGACCTCCATTAAATCAGCAAATATGTACACGAAAGAAGGTCAGACACCAGCAGACCCAGCAAGACCCTCAGACAAAATAGATTCATCCATGGGACAAAACTCTAAAACACAAGCTAAACAGGACAGAGTATGCTCTGCAGTGACAAATGCTTGGACCTCCACAAAGGAGAAACCAAACAGGCACTCCATTAACCCAACACAACACAGAAGACCCACCTTTACAGGACAAGACTCAGCTATGCATCTGCACTGGAACTTTCTTGATGATGCCAGTGGTCACATTGTGGACCAAGAGCATCTAAGCCCCCTGTGAACGACCATCACTGAACAGAGGTGGTGGCTTACAACACCAGCTATCAACCACCGGCAATGCCGTCATGAGATCCCTTCCCGAGTGCTTCAATCCCAACTCACACCTGGCCTCATGTGATCCCAATAAGTCACATGATGCAGTGGGGCAAGGTTACAAGGTGGTTTCACCATTAACCCCCAGTGTTGGTAATGACCCATACTTTTTTTTTAAATACACCTTTGTTCATGTGATGACTCACATGATCGATAGTGGGTTGATGACCCTCAGAACCACCTGGGAGGGGACAACCAACCACTAAGAGTAAAATATCTGGGACTCTTTTATTTTTAGAACTGAAGAAGTCTCTTGGATGAGAGGTGGAACACCCACAAATGACACATGGCTGTCCAACTGGTCTGTCATTTCACTGCCTTCATCTCAGTTTCCTCAAACAAAGACAAACTTCTTATTTCAGTCGCATAAGCCAAATTGTTTCTCCATTGTGTTGGCTTTCAAGAAAACTCAATCATCAAAATTTCTGTCTAAGGTCTTTGTGTCTGTGAAGGTTCTCAGTCATCCAGGTCATCGTAGTCAAAGGAGCTTACAAAGAAAAGCGTCTGGACTTCTTTAAGTTGCTTGAAGACGTTTCACCTCTCATCCGAGAAGCTTCTTCAGTTCTAAGGTCAAATGGTGGGGAGTCCCAGATATAAACCTAGTGGGAGTAACCCCCCACAGAGGGACAAAAGGACCCCCTGATGATCCTCTAATCGCCTGAGCCAAGGTGTGAAGCCAGGGTTTCGGGTGAGCTCATTGTGAAACCTGGCCCCACCTTATCATGCTAATTCCTGAGTTTTGTCAAAACTCCTAAACACAAACTTAACAACGTGGTGTATGCTGTACAGTGCAGCGAGGAATGCCCAGACCTCTACATTGGAGAGACCAAACAGCTACTTCACAAGCGCATGGCACAACACAGAAGAGTCACCTCCACGGGACAAGACTCAGCAGTCCATCTGCATCTTAAGGATAAAGGACACTCTTTCGAGGATGCCAATGTTCACATTTTGGACAGAGAGGACAGATGGTTTGAAAGAAGCCATTTATGTCCACTGTGAGCGACCATCTTTGAACAGAGGCGGTGGTTTACGACACCAACTGTCTGCCATCTATAATCAAGTTTTGAGTTCCCTCCCCAGACGCCTTAACGCTCACTCACATCCTGGGCCATCTGACCTCAGGAAATCACATGATAGGGTGGGGCCAGGTTTCACAATGAGCCCATGCGAAACCCTGGCTGATTGGGACCCACACCCAGTTTCACACCTTGGCTCAGGCGATTAGAGGATCATCAGGGGGTCCTTTTGTCCCTCTGTGGGGGGTCACTCCCACTAGGTTTTAAATCTGGGACTCCCCACCATTTGACCTTAGAACTGAAGAAGCTTCTCGGATGAGAGGTGAAATGTTTTCAAGCAACTTAAAGAAGTCCAGACGCTTTTCTTTGCAAGCTCCTTTGACTGTCTAAGGTCTTTCACTGGACGGGATCAAAACATTTCCCTCATAAAGAATCCAAGTGGACAAGAGGGGCTCATCTCTTTCAAGTATTTTTAGTCTTCTTTGATGTCTAAACATTTGTGCACAAGCATTAGACCTGAACGGTTTCTCCCCAGCGCTGACTTTCTTGGGTTTTTCTTCTATCTAAGCCGCTGTGTTTCAACTAAACTGTAATCATCTGTGATGTTGTGTTTGCCCATCACTCCAGCGGATGCCACCTCTGATGTGTGTTACTGCTTGCCACATGATGTAATCAAGGGCAACCTGAAAGAAGAACAGCGACAGGATGCAGCCCTGCCAGATGTTGATGACAATTTTAAAGAAGATACCGTGGCTGGATTCCATCTTTACGTGGCAGCTTGAACACAGGCATTAGCTCTTGAAAACTGGAATAAAAGCTGCTGGAAAACGTTAATAGTGCAGGACACTTCTGGTAGATCTGTGAAATTTTTCACGTTAATGACTAAACCTGAGAACGTCTATGTAAAGTCAAATAATGAACAGAGGAAATCCTCATCAGCCAGTCGGTGTTTCATTAAAACATTAAAATTACACTCAGACATCTTATCTATTATGGACAAAACATTAACTTTGTACAGTGCATGATTTTTGGCACACAACCTCCTGTGTTGTTTTAAAAGCCTGCATTCATTTGCCATAAAATGATAAAAACATTACATAAAATAAAAAGTTCTCCGAAAACACACAGTAATACTGACATACAGCTGCAACTACGGCTTCATTTAGTCCTCGTTAAAAACGTGGCGTGATCTTCATCTAAGTAACGATAATAGAGAAACACAAAACTAATTATAAAAGCAGCCTTTAGTGAACACACTGAGCAATCGCTCAAAGCGCTCGTAGGCTAAAAACGAGCCTTCACATGAGCAACAACAGCTGCTTGGACACAGCTGTAAAAATTACAGATTGTTCATAGAAATGAAAAAAAAGAAAGAAGAATCTCACGAAAGATTGGTTTGTGTGAGCCTTCATGGAGATCAGTGCAACAAAAGAAACAAAAAACACTCCACACAAACATACTGTGGTACATTTCAAGCTTGCAAACGATCACCTGGATGTTTGTCTGTCAGTTTTAAGGTTTTATTATCAGGACACAAAGTAGTTGTGGCTTTAGCAAGTCTTTAAAATCAGGTAAATACAACCTAATCTGACCTACAAAACATGACATATTACACTTTGCCATTAATAATTAAACCAAAACGCAATCTAAGTACACCCTTAATGTTTCCAATGGAATTCAGGGGGTGGGTACGAGCCAGGTGCTGCTAATCAAATGCACTTGACTAAATGATCATCAGCAATTGTGAGCACCTCTATAAAAGCAGACGTTTTATTAGTTTGGAGGTCTGGAGCAGTTAAAACAATGCCAACGAGCACAGATATCAGCAGCTGTCTTAGAAAAGCAGTTGTTGCTGGTCATCTGGAAAAGGTTACGAGGCCATTTCCAAACAACTTGAAGGACACCGTGCTGTAATGACAAAGATTAATGTGGAAAACATTTTACACAGTGCTTAGTCTTGCTAGTAGTGGACTTCCCAGCAAATTCAATTCAATTTTATTTATGTAGTGCCAAATCGCAACAACGGTTGATGAAGGTGCTTAATTCACCCCGGAGCCAGAGCGTTGAGCGTTGCTCAGAGCAAGTGCTTCAGTTAGCACGTTACTCTACGGGCTTCAGTTAGCGTGTTAAAAGTTAAAGTTCATGACAGCACAATTAGAAAAAGCCTGAACAAGTATGGTTTGTTTCAAATTGTTGCCAGGAGAAAGCCTTTCTCTCTATAAACAACATGGCAGTACGGCTTGGGTTCAAAAAGATGGATCTGACGAAATGCCTTCGAAAGACGAAAACGGAGATGTCTGCCCATAATGCACTGCGCCACGTTTAGTGTAAAGCAAACACAGTATATCAGCACAATGTCAAACATGGTGGCGGAGGGGTGATAACCTGGGCTTGCTTTGCAGCCACAGCGCCGACCACAAACTCCTCTGTATTCCAAAGTATTCTAGAGTCAAATGTGAGGGCATCTGTCCGACAGCTTGGCCCAAACTGGGCCATAAAATAGGACAATGATCCCAAGCACAGCAGCAAATCTACATCAGATGGCTGAAAAAGAAAAAAATATCAAGGTGTTGCAATGACTCAGTCAAAGTCCAGACCTGAAGGGTGCTGCTTCAGCTATTAGGCGAGCAGGCGCACGTAGGTCTTGCAGTTGAAATGTAGCGGCCGACCTGCGGGCGCTGCATTTTTCTTAAATGAATAATGGCACGGTGTAATATATCATATGTTGCTATTGATCTAATTTTAAAACCATGGACTGATGTTGCTTTGATACCTCAGAGCCTGGCGTTGTATCTAGAACTTCTAAGCAAGCCAACAACAGAACAGCTGATAAAGAAAACTGGGTTTTGTAATGATAAAGGTAGAGTCTCTGTCTTAATCCAAGTGAGATGTTGCGCCTTGTCCATAAATGTTAATGCACTGAAACTATTTTGTAGGAAGCAGGGGTCCAAAATGCCTCATCACTCTACAAGTTTCAAGACCAGCTACAGGAAGTGTCTGATGGGAGTTGTTGCTACCCGAGGAGGATCTACAAGTCACAAAATAAATTCAAAAGCACACGTACTCTTTCCGGCTAAAGTAAACAGCTCTTGAGATAGCCTGTTTACTCTAGCCAGCATACCACTGGGGACTTAGGTGAAGCTCACACCACATTTAGAGCAATTAAATGAAGACATCCTGGTAATTCAAAAGGGTTCATAAATGTTTTTTTATAACTGTATACAGTAATGCCCATTAACATTCATCCACTGATGTCACTGAAGCTCAGTTTAAACATCTTCATCTTCTGTTTGACCCCGGTGTCTTTCTGGAGCCCGCAGCTGGTGGATTTTGATAAGGTCCGACTTGGGTAGATTGCTGAAAAATACGAACCTTTTGATCAGTTGTCAATCATTTTTCACACAGCACAGGTCATTTTTAGAGATTAAAAGGTAAAGATGGATAGCGGGAGGTTTAAAAAGAAGAATATAGGATCTTGAAAAACAGTGAAATCAAAAATACTTACCTGACAAACTGACATAAAATGATTTCAGGAACAATAACAACAACAAAAATCTACAATTGGTCTGCTTGCGCACATCAGCCTCCACAGAGAAAACGTCAAAGGATATCAAGGCTAACATCACACAAATACATTACCTGGTGTTCAGAGGTGTAATGAAGATAAATTGTCGAAGATGCTGCCGCTCTGACAACTCCAGAAGCAGATCCAGACAGATTCTTCGATTGTGCATATCCTGCCGCAGCAAAAGAAAGGGAACTGTTAACTCAAGTGAGTAAAAGCCAAACCCCGTAAGCATTTTCTACTGGTTACATGCGACTAATGTGTTTTCTGTGCACTCACCATGTAGACGTCAAACTCGTCGAGGCATCTGAAGGGTGACTCGGTGATCTCCCACAGTGAGAGCATGAAACAAACAGTGGAGAAGGAGCGCTCACCACCGGACAGCGACCTCATGTCACTCACACCATCCTCCTCCCTGCCTGGAGGCTTTACCTTCAGTGCCAACAAACTTGAGTGTTACTTATATTAACTGTGCTCCTGGTTTGCTGTAATGTAACAAACTTTTCTGGCAAACTAAAGAGATAAGCACGTACCATGATAGAGAGCGTCTCGTTGTTGTGGTCAAAAATCATAGATCCACAGCAGTTCATCTTTATTAGGAAGTTATTGAAGTATAACTTACATCTGACAGACAGGGACCTTCAGGAAAAAGAGAAGAAGAAAAGTTTTAGCCAAAAGTACAATTTTTCCCACGTCAATGAATCCTTATATTATATTTTTCTACCGTGCAAGATCGTTACTTACCTACGCATTATTTTGTATCTGTTCTGCCTGTCTGACATGATGTTATCCAGACGATCGATGAACCTCCGCAAATCTCTTACTTGGTTGGTTTTCTCTCTGTAGAGAGCGAGGGCCTCGGCGTACTCCCTAATGAGGTCAGAGGGAAGAAATTGGCATAGCCTAAATTCTTCTCAATTCAGCTTTCAGTGTGCACATGTAAAATGAGGGCAGGAGATGATTTAGTGATGGCCAGCAGGCAGATCTGATTAATCCGTACAGGGGAAGAGACAGTCCGAAGGAGATGAGCTGAAACTCAGTGAGCAGAAGCGCGCCTTTTTATTTCTTGGGAGATGAAATCCAGGGAAAATGATAGGTTAGAATGAAGATGGAAGATGTCTTTGAAGAAGCCTTTAAGTAAATACGTTTTTGAAAAGATACAGTTGGTCTACAGCAAACTAAGTTAGCTTTTAAATCTGTATGAGTCATGTCCATTTCCTGATCGCTCCCATTAAAGATCTTAACATCTTTCAGCTCTGCCGCCCGTCATTTGAATAGTGCAACCCCCTCCAAACTAGATCGCAGGCCTCCCGTAAACACTCCCTTTCACCATTGCTGCCATCCTTCTGTCACAAATCACCCCTGACACTCATCTCCACCCACTCCACTGTGTCTGCACTTTCCTCTTTACCTTGTTTGTGCACTAAACATTTTGGATGATCTCGAGGTATTTAAACAGATCCACCTTCACTACCTTTACTCCCAGCGTCATCACCATTTAATTCACACACACACATGTATTCTGTCTTGCTTCCTTACTTCCATTCCTCTTCTCTCCAGAGCACACCTCCACTTTTCCAGGATCTCTTCCTCCTGCTCCTTACTCTATAGATCAGTGTCATCTGCTATCATCATAGTCCACAGAGACTTCTGCCCGGTCTCATCTGTCAACCCCCACCTTGAATCCATCCGTTACTCCTACTTGAAGTTTATATCTCTATAGTTGCTACAGCTCTGCACATCAACTTTGCTAATGAGTCCTATAAGGGTAATACTACTATACATAATTAAATTAATATTATTACTGATACATAAGTGTCTGAGAAGGATTTAACTGTTGCAGCCGGTTGAGACAGAGCTTTCTAAAATATTATCTATATGATAAGGTTGATTTTGATTACAAAAAACCAATATATTCCTTTATCCAGTACAACAGCTAAGTTCCACCTGGTCTAGGTTTTCGATCCCAATAGCGTTCCACTTGTCATAGGTGTCAATAAAACAATTAACACCCACGACACATTCAGAAGTGCTTCTAACACTGCACCCTCTATAAATATGTAAATAAAGGCAAGATAGTGAATACAAAAACACTGTTCGATGTAAAGTAAGACACCACCTTTAAATGTGGTGACAACAATTATTAGATAACAATAATTATTCAATGTAATGTTGCACCCGATTAATGCAGAGTTATTTTTGCACCATGTGCGTCACAGACGTCGATGCGTCTGTGGTGGTGCGCCTACGGTCTTTAACACCGGAGGTCGAGAGCGCGTGCAGGCGACCGAGGAGTCTATTGTTTACTTCAACAACCCGACTCATATGTAGCAATCTATGATAGTCATCTTTGATTAGCAGAAGCATAAGGGCAAGGAAAACAATAGCAAACCATAACAGTTGCCTGTTTCATACGTCTGGGTTGTTTTCAGCTGTTGTTTTATGTGTAAAAAGGGGTTAAAGTGGATTTGTCAGGTGTAGCACTGAGAAGAAAAATCACTTAAAAATAAGATAAAAACTTGTACTTCAAGCTCCAATAGATTTGTTTTCTTTGCATACGGCTGTGATCAGCTAACATGTGCAATTGCTGCTCTTTTTGGATTTATCTGAACTCAACAAGATAACAGAGCAACTTAAATTTGATGTCTGCTACTCTGGATGTAACCGGACATTGACCATGAACAACACAGGCTGCTGTGCACTGCTCCAACATTGCTGCTTTACTGTAAACTTCACCACACTGCTGCAAACTAACCTGAAATGATGTATTAAATGTAATTAATCTTGTGTCTTCCTTACATCTTTCATCATCTCTCATTTCTATTCAGTAAACTTTTCACACGTGAATGTTTCTTTTCTCCCTGGGAGACGCAGCGTCTTTATTTCTCGTGCTGTTTGAAACATTTGAATGTCAACAGCGATAAATGCTACTCCGTTTATATCCTGAGCAAATACAAGTAAGCACAGACAGAGCAGGCAGCTAAATACTCAATTGCAGTAACAACAACTTTATTGACATCTGCAGCATGAAGGCATCACACCGATGAGAAGGAAAAAAGAAGGTGCTGAGAGGATATGCTGGCTCAATTAAAGTTCCTGGACCATCGTTCTGGATGGTTCTGGTCTACTTTAACCATGCCTAATAGTCTATTTAGGTTAGCTAATAAAACAAGTCAGCTCAGGTGAAAATCCTTGGCTGAGTGGGGTGCCAGTTTAGGTCTAGGGGGAAACTGGGGTTAATATATATTATAAGTACCTTAAGTCTGTACACAGGTACAGTACCTGATTAGATTACCTACATTCCACCAGTTTTATACATACAGTTTACACATGCACTAACATGATTGATGAATTAGCTCAATAAACCTTTGAGTTTTAACTGTTAAAATAATTTCTGCCTCTGTTGCTGAAAGCCTTCAGTTTCTCACCTGACCACCTGCTGCTGCTCGCCGTGGTCGCTTTCGTACACTTTGATCTTCTTATTCAGTCGAGTGATTTCTGTGTCGATGCTCTTGGTGTTGCCGACCACGTGCTGCCGTTCAGGACTGATCTCTATAGCCTTTGCCACGTATTCCTGTCGTAACATCACGAGACTTCTGCTGACTTTCTTTGATTGAATTCACCGAATACCGGCTGGCGTGAATAGCTAAACTGCAGCTTAACTACACCGTATCATGCTGAAAAAAAAAATAAATCTTCCTACCTGTAGCTCCTCTTCTCTTTGGGCAAGTTCATTTTTCATGCCTTCAATGTTGTCATCATGAGCCTTCACTTTGTTTTCTAAGATTTTCAGGTTTCGTTCATGCTTGGCACACTCCGTCTCCAGTTTCAGCTGTTCATCCTGTAGATCAAGAGCACAAAGGTTTGGAAGCCTGCACAAAACAACAAGTTGTAGACCTGAAACCGTAAAACCTCTACTGCACCTTAAGGGGCTCTATTTCCTCTAGAAGCTGATCAATCCGGTCTCTGACAGATGAGTACTTGGAATCTGAGTCTTCGGCCATTTTTCGCTGCTTGTCGAGTTCTGCCTTTGCTTCTTGAACACTTTGCTTCTCTGCCTCGATTTTCTGCTGATTCTCTTGGGCAACCTCTTCCTGCACAGTTTAAAACATTCAGAAACACTTAACCTGCATAATTCATGGCAGCGTTTAGTTTATTACGCAACAGATAAAAATAAAAACTGAAGTATGTATCACCAGTGAGCTGATGTCATTAATTTGCTCCTCACTAGCAGTCACCAGATCAGTTATTGCTGCTTTGACATGATTCACAGAAGCCTGCAACGAAGAGAAAATAAATGTAATCTAATGTTAATTAAAAATCACATTAATCACACTGCTCAGCACTGATTTGCCAGCATTAAACAGCAACTGGAACATAGACTTTACATAAAAGATGGATAGCTTATGGATTACTGTTTGCAAGACTGGTTTTTCTGTTGTCACCATCTTGAGGTTGTTTTTTTTTTTTATACTAAACACGCCCAATGCTAACACTGAGCAACTATCTTGGTTAGCAAGGTACATTAGTAAATCACTGTAAAACTGAAAGGGATGCTAACTTGATTTTTAGTGAGGGGAGTAAAAAGCCACAATCTTTTTACCTGTTCATGCCTCCAGAGGCTTTCTGAGCTTCCTGCTCGAAAATGACATGCCCAAACTGAATATTGTATTTCTCAGCAATTACAAACTCTGTGTAAACAATCCTGGCATCAAAATAAAGCTAACACTTGTGAGATTTCATCAGAGGTGTAAATATTACAGCAGATGTTACTGTGTCAAAGCTACTGAGGCTGGAACACTAAGAAACTACTTTTTTTTTAGCATATAACCCCTTTAAAAATATGCTTTGGTTCACATTTGACTCCAGAAAATCAGTAACCAACATATTCAGCCCTAACACTGAATTCACTTGTCAGCTCTTTAGCTTGCTGCTTTAATTGGAAGCCAGAAACCACAAAACGAGGAGACAGACTGCAAATGCAGAAAATGAAAGGAAACCCAAACAGCTTCAGGTGTATCTTTTTACTGACCAGTGTTGTCTTCATGGTCAGGATGGTGTTGTTAAGATTGCTCTCCATATTCACAATGTCTTCGGTGACAGAGTTTACTTGGAGCTGAAACCTGGACAGCTGAGCCTGGTAATTCTCCAGGTCTGAGTCCAGCATACTGGAACAGACAGGATACCACAAACATAACATACCACATCTATGAAGTCACATGAAATTGGGTTTGTTTGCTTGTTTGTTTGTTTGTTTGTTTGTTTTTTTTGGGGGGGGGGCTGTACTCAGGCACAATTTATACTACTGTCATTTCCATGTGACATAAAGATCCAGTTTGAGCATTCAACTGGGTGTAAATGTGAAAGACAGTCACTCAAACCTTGAATAGTTTCCAGTGGTTACCTTATTTCAGTCTCAGTGTCCCCACCGAGATATCTTGCCATGCTGAAATCAGACGTGTAATAACGGTTTGGATACACCTGATCCCCCTCAACAGTGAAGGCTTCACGGCAGTTTTTAGGTGGACGGCAGTGCTGCATGACCCTCCTCGCTTTATCTTTTTCCTGAGATCAAACAACAACAACAACAAAATGCAACATCAATCCTAGAGCACCACTCTAGGCAATATCCAGGCATAAGCAGGTCTTAGTAAGACACTTACTTTGATTATAAGGATTGATTCTATCCCTCGCATATCAATCAGACAGTTGATAATCACTGGGCTTGTTGCTGTGATTATGTCCATTACCGATGGGTACTCCGGATGATATGCTTTCCTGTGAAACAGCACAGAGTGAAAACAAAACATGCTTTAAAAAAAACCAAAAGTTTCAGAAAAACGTAATAAGAAAAAGAAAAGAAAATCTCACATAATGCCGACCTTCCATGAATGTTGTACAGTTTATCAGAGAAGGGGCTGACGATAATCTGTGGCCTGTTGCCCTTTGGATAAAAGCGAGTCATCAGCTCCTGGAGGACCGCCTCGTCTTTGTAGTTGTCGCAACAGAACGCCTTCACGAAGCTCCGCAGACAGCACTCCACAGCCACAGCTAACGAGGGATCCTTTAAACTGATACATGCCCCTGGGAATAAACACAGACTGTCAGCAATATATCAAAAGTAGAAAGCTTTGAATTATTTAAATGTTAAAGATGTTTATAAAAAAAGAAAAAAAAAAAAAAAAAGGTACAGCGTTTGCTTTTTTGCGTGAAAGAAAAGAACATTAGACATGTGTCTGTACAGTAAATACGCAGCTGCAGCTAGAAACTCGTTAGCTTAGTTAGCGTCAAGATGAAAACATGACAAAAACCAATGCACGATAGTGAAAAACTATGATGAAATGTATTGACGCTTTTGTCCGCCAATAAAATGAGATGAAAATGGACGGATCAATCAGAACAAACTAAGTTGTTCAGAAAGGTGGGACAAGTTGGGGAGTGATCCAATCAGAAGTAATCTCCTTGTGCAGTTAGGTCAGATTTGATCTGCCCAGGGGAAACGTACAAGTTCTCGCGCTCTCAGTTTCTCATGAAAAAGCAACAAAATGTCAACACTTGTGAAGAAGAGAGAAGCAGGACTCGTTTCACATTTGATGTCAAGGAAAATAAGATGCTTTTTAAACCATGTGGGGCAACTCCCTGTCTTTGTGATGTGCTCCATTTAAAGTCTGAAGTCAGAGTTTCCAACTTGTTATCTGTACTGCCACTGTTGTGTGCTTGTGACTTGCCATACAGAGATAATCGAGCACACTATCCATGACTTTTCTTCAGTCATGCTTTCAAGCACAGAAAAACGACCCCTGCACTGTATTATGACTACTAGTGAATGGCTCTACCTCGCTACAAGTTGTCTAAGGAATGCAGGACCTCGTTGCTGTGAGGCAATGACGCTAACAGGGCACGTTTTCTTGATCAGAGAGCTTTAGATGTGATAGCTGACAGATGACTCACTTCTTCCTGTTTCCAGTTTTCAGTCTCTGTTCTAGTCAAACTGGTTATTGGCGCTTGTTTTTAATTTAGTACGCAAACATTAGAGTTTTATCAATCTTCTCATCAAGAACGTTAACAAGCAGATCGTATTGAACTGAAAAGTCAAACAAAACAAGTCTGAAAATATTTTTATCCAAAAAAAAAAACCCCAAAAAAAACCTGAAAATGAGTGTTACCTATTGGACCAACAGGTCTCTTGAGGAAGCGTCCCGTGGCATAAGCCTCGCTAATTGCACTCATCATGTCAGGCACCTGGTCTCCAAAGCGCTTTAGTTTGTTCGATCGACTGGCGAGCAGCTGATTCTTCCTCTTTAGTTTGGACTCGTATGAAGCCTGTACGTTCCTTTCCTCCAGTCTGGTAAATACAAAGAGAGCAAGATCATAAACTTTCACTTCCCTGACAATATGTTTACACCAGAGCTGATTTACTTTGTTATACCTCAGCTTGTCCAGTTCTTCCTTCCCTTTGAGAAGCGCCTGATGTTTGTTCTTGATGTCTTGATTCAGGTGCGTGCACTTATTCTCGAGCTCTGCAAGCTGCTCTTTCAGATTACTTAAACTCTTCTGCCGTTTCGTGTATTCCGAGTCTCCCTCACTGTTCAGACTCTTACTGAAACAGAGTAAAAAAAAAAAAAATTGAAAACAAATACATCAGCTGTATTAACATCAACTCTTACTCCCCTACCTTGCTTTTGCCTTGTTAAGCTTCTCCTGGAGAAGGTTTTGCTCTTGTTCCGACTGTTTCAGCTTGTTTAGAGCTCGAAAATAAACGACCTATTGGAAAAGATTGTGACATTAACATGACGTCAAATATTTCTCTATGCATACAGTAAATAAATAAATGTGCAGATTAACACAGCGCCGTTTGTCAGCGACTACCTCCTGGTCCTTGTGTGCTTTGCTAATGATCTTCACTTGTTCTTTCAACTTAACATTGTCCTCTGATAGAGACTCTTGCTCTTCTCTCAGAGTGTCAATTTTGCTTTTGATGCATTGAAGCTTCTTCTCTAGCTGTATGATCTTCGTCTGAAGATGAGAGAGACAGAAACAGGTTTTTAAAGACAATGCCTGAAAATAATTACCAGCAGGATAGAGCCACTCCACCCCACAACCTCAGGATATCTACTGTAAACACAACCATGCATTATGTGAAGGAAGGACTTTGAGTTTATGCAGAGATGAAGGTCTGAAGTGGTCTGACATTTATAAATAGGGTTGTATATTTAACAGAAAAGAAACACTTGTGACTCACCTGACAGAGCTGAAGGTTATCCTTGGGTTTGTAATTATTTTCTTCCTTTTCAATGTCTTCCTTCAACTGCTTTAAGAGCTGCTCCTTCTCACTCACCTGAAAGAGATAAAAAAAAACACATTTATTAAAAATTGCAAGCTCTATCCAACCAGCAAATGTTGCGTTCAAGCCTCAAGATCAAGTCTTACCAAACACCATACCATCGCCTTCTTCAGATTCTCTAAAACAACCTTCATGTCACTGAAGGATGCAACATTTTCATATCGTTCCTTCTTCTGCAGGAACTCTTGCTTCAGGTCCTTGAGACACTGGACACAAAAGCATTTTAAAATATGTTTGATTTATGTAAAAATCAAACGCTACTCATAGATAAACATATAAGCTGCAACTGGATACAATTAGGATTCCCAAATAAAAGGCAGAAAATCAAGAGAAACCCCAAAGAAGAAGATGCTTTTAAAACTGTCAGTGTTTAGCCAGAAATAAACAATGTAAATAACATTTCTCCAACGTGTATTTGCTTTATAATCTCGCTTGATGTGCAACATCAACGTTCAGCGGTTTGTGTGAGGAATGCCGTACCTCCTCTTGCCTCTCAACCTGCTCCCGCGTGACCATTTTAGTGTGTTTAATGTGGATGTAATCTCTCTTCATCTGCTCGAGCAGAGTTGCTTTCATGAAGAACTACAAACGAAAAAAAGCAGAAAAGAAAGCACTTATCAAAGTGAGCTTCATTGCAGGTGTAACCTTTAAATCTTAACGCTTTTAGCGAACGTGGCGTTACGCTACCTTATACTTGTCTGTTTCACTTTTCGAATGCAGGAACTGCTTGCTCATTTCTTGGCTGAGAATGGATACTGGGTTATCCAGCTGGAATACACAAGCAAATATCCTGTTAAGTCTTTTAATGTGTATGATTGTGCCGGAAGCAGTACAACCTCGGGGCATCTACAGGAAAAAAATTTAAAAAGTAGCAAGTACCTGGATGTTAAAGTGGTCCAAAATGCCCGTTAATTCCTCCTTTTTGTTTGAGACGAGATGTCCTAAAAGAGATAAAATGCAAGTAAAGTGGTTTGAACCTCTGTTGCCCTTTAAAAGAAGTTATAACTTACATGCCACTCATTGGAAAATAATAAGATGGTACTGTACTGTGTTCATAATTCCTTAAATTTGGACAAGATCTCCTACACCACTGGCCGATATCTAGCCCAAAACACGACGGAGCCTCCAGTGTGTTTTCCAGGCTGTAGACACTCACTGTCTACACTCACTTCACTGTGACAGGTTTTTAGCTAATAGCTCTTTGTCAATCTTGTTGGTGCATAAATACTAATTTATGCCTGTTAAACTTGGTTACTTTGGTAAATATTTGGGTAGATTCAACAGAAGAAACGTGAATAAATTCTGTGATTTTGTGTGAGAATGTAATAATAGTGTTATAATAATGTTAGTGGCTTAACATACAGAAGAACATTCTTCTGAAAATGGTCAGGTACAAGAGTGAACATGCATACTGGCACATGCACTTTAAGTTCCTTTTATTTATAAAATGACATTTACAACATAGGAAAACCAGCGGCTGAAAGCAGTGCCATGCAAATAAAATATATACAAGTTTATAGAGAAAATTCCAGACTGAGAGTAAAGAATGTATACAGTATTAGGAGGTGACAGTGTGGCTGAAGTGTTTGGTCTCCACTCCCAACTGTGTCTGGTTAATCTAAGATTTCCAGAAGGTTTCACAAGACTTGGACCGACTCACAGAAAGTTTTCCAGTCACAGCATCTGTGGAAAGTCACCTGATTTGCTTTTCAGCCTGCAGGTCCGGCATCCATCACTCGAGAGCCGATGTTCAATGGTGATACTGTCGCCGTAAACATCCTTTTTGTAAGCATCTGGCCCTCTGTTTCTCAGCTTTACTGTTATATCTGCAGTACTAGAAACCAGAGTGTATTTTTAACATTGTTTTAGTGACATTTGCTAGTAAAGAAATCTGAAGCATTTTTAACACTAAAATAAAGACACACGATTTATTACTGAGGGACGATATTAGGATCTATTACTTACTTTTCATTGGTCTTCACAAAGTCTTTCAGCGACATTCCTCTGTTCGTCACAGTGGCCTTTCCCCCGAGGCCTACAATCAAAGCGGTCAGGATAGCGCTTTTTCCACCTGAGGGATAAAGCAGTTACAAGACAACAAATTAAATCGGTGCATGTAAAGCATCTTACAGACATGCGGCGCTCGGCAGTGCTAGAAAACTATGCAAATGATTGTAAATGATGCATCGACTGAAAAAAAAGAAAATAAATAAATAAATCAGGGAGCCATCTTTGAATAAACAAATTTTCAGTGAGCTCAGCATTAAACAGTTCCTTATAAAAGCTGATACTTCACCTAAAATGATTCAGCCAAGTGAGCAATAAATGATAATCTTGTAAATCCTGCAAAGTATTTTTTCCAGTGAAAGAAATCTAAATGTTTAAAATGTTTTACAGGGGAGTTTGTGTGGCGTTAAGTGACAAAATAACAAAGCTGGAGAGGGATGGATCAAATGTTCTTGTGTAGATAACAAAATTGGGTGTTGTTCATTCACTCTGTTTTGTTAATCCACAAAGGGTGACAAGGCTTTGTTCTGGATTTAGGCCTGAAGTCTAAAGATGCTATTCCTTCCTGATATATTAGAAGTCTGTTATATCCTTTTAAAAACAAACTCGATTTGTTGAGTACGACTGTTCATCATTAACGCAATGCAGAGATGGTCGAGATGATCTGCTAAATTTCAAACCAAGCATCAGAGTGGGGAAGAAAGGTGATTTAAGTGCAACATGAATGTAACATAGTTGTTGATGTGAGTATTTGAGAAGCTGTTCATCTACTGGGACTTTCCCCACACAATCATCTCTAGAGTTTACTAGAGAAATATCGAGCGAGCGGCAGTCCTCGCGTTGATGTCAGAGGTCAGAGAAGAATAACTGCACTGCTTAAGGCAACAATAACTCAAATAACCACTTGTTACAACCACGGCGTGCAGAAACACATCTCTAAATGCAGAGCATGGTAAGCCTTGAAACTTACAGTAGCAGAAGACCAGACTGGGTCAGCTGAGAACAGGAAACCAAGGCTGGATGGTAGCATCAAAATTTGAATTCAGGCTCTTGGTGGTGTAATGTTGTGGGGACTACTTTTTTTGGCACACTTTGCTTAACTGAGCATTGTTTAAACACCTCAGCCAACCCGAGTTTTGTCGCTAACCATGCCGATCCTTGTATGACCACAGTGTACTCATCTTCAGAAAGCTGCTTCCAGCAAGATAACACAGGATGACAAAAATCCCAAATCCTCTCAGTTGGGTTTCTTGAGCATGACGGTGAGTTCGAGGTACTCAAATAGCTTGTACAATCCACCTTTGGAATGTGGTGTAATGAGAGATTCATATCATGGACCTGCAGCAACTGTGTGATGCTATCATGTCAACATGGACCAAAGGTGAGAGGAGGTCCAACCCCAAACTAGCATGCTGTAGCTAATAAAGTGGCCAGCAAGTGTTTCTATAGGGAAAATAAAGCTATACCCAATTAAAATCACATGTCAGACATGACAACATCCAGGTACAATCAAGTGAAGGGAAAGCTCTTACTTCCATTGTGACCAACTATGAAATTCACGTTTGGCCCAAACTGGAACGGACCAAAAGAATGATGGCACATGAAATTCTTCAGAGTGATGCTTTCAATGAGTCCAATGTCACCCTAAGAACACAAGCAGAAAACGATATTTAACCTTTAACGAGCCGGGAGGAGCAAAGACAAAACTTTGTGTGGGTTTTAATGTTAGGGCGAAATACTCACTGTAGAAAACTGAGCGAAGGCCTTGGAACAGATCCCCTGATGACTTGGGTTTGCATCATCTGGCGTATGTTCGATACTTGCAGCTGCGACTTTGCGGCTCTTGAAAGTTGTTGCTTCAGTGATCACTTTGCCTTTTCTCTTACTCATTTTAGAACAGATCACTGTCAACAGAGTTAACATGACAAAGCAAATGAGACACCATTATTTTTAACTCCCCCTATAGCTCAGCACTGTCAGCTTAAATGAAACTTTCACTCATTTTGCAAACTGATACGTTTTTAATTCTACTAATGCACAACCAGAACAACTTTTCTCGTTCAGTCTTAATCTATTAAACTGGGCAGATTTTAATGCTTCTATTAATAAGTGTGTCCACCTGCAAACGCCCTAAATAAGCCATCAGTATTAGTAGTAGTTCCTTGTTTAAATTTGCAATCAGAAGTGTAAATACGTCAGCGAGACATGCAGCAGTTTAGAGACAGCACCAAAAATGTATAGAGAAGCTTACACAGTGGTGAAAACTAATTTCTCATAGAGTCAGCATGTAAAAATAAAGAAATATGCATTTTGACTTGAAGTCAGGAAGCCGCCACCTAAACTAGCAGATTCAGCGGCGATACAAATAGATGATCAGCAGTGCAACATGTAGCTAAGCGTTTTGCTTCCACATGCAACTCTACATAACTACAGGCACCAGCAAGCCGAGCTACGCTGCATCTATAGGTCACAATGAGCTGGATCTGCTATGCCAGCTGCACCAACATGTAAGAGCCTCTGAGCTCAGTGAGAAAACAGTTTCCAAAAGTGCACACCAAAGTCCAGCTCTTTGTCTCACAACCCCCCCTGCAGACCTCCGCTAGAGCTCAGCTCTCGTGGATCACGAACAATATAGCACCTTGTTAGAAGTCGCCTACCATCGCTCGATCTCGTGGGAAGCCTTCAAAAATATTATGATCACGGGAAGAGTGTGCGTCGCTTTACGACTTCCTGGTCGTACGGTGTGACTGCGTGGAAAACGAGCCGCTGCCGTGACAGTTGTGGGTGTGATTTCGGTTCTAAACACGGAACACGAAGCGTGCAGCGTGATTGGCTCGGCATCATTGCTCGGCACCCACCTGTGTGCGTGCGTGGCCGTGTGCGCGCGCGCGCGCGTTCAAAACAAATGTAACAGTTTTTCCCGTTTTGTTTTTGTTTTGGCTGAAAATAGAAAAGCCGGGGGAGGGAGAGAGGAAGTGGAGGGAGGGACCGGGCTTTAAACTGTGCTGCATGTGGAGTTAGACTCTATATTTTATTTAATTTTATTAAAAAAACGAAAAGAAAACAACAACAAAAATGCAAACACATTGATCTCCGGGAGGATTTTGTGTCATGGCTCATCGAAGCCTTTAAAAGGCGTGAGTGCACGCCCCCATGTCCTCCTCCTACCGGATTCCAGTTCAGTTTAACGACAGGAACAAGATGAGACGTGTTGCCTGCAGCAGACGTGGTGAGAAAAAAAAATTTAAGCTGAAGATCCGTGTAACACATGTGAAAAAGAACGCAAACTAAACTGTGAAGCGACGGGCACTTTTGGTGACAAAAGTCTTAAACTACCCTTAATTTTATTTTGCTTGCAATACGCCAGGAAAAAAAACAGACCTGAGCAATTTATCTTCAGACTTTCTGAAGGTTTTTCAAACGTTTTCTTTGGTCACCTCATGTTTTCTTTTCTTTTTTTTCTTGATCTATGAGTCATTCAAGCATTAAAAATAGTCCCGTAACTCAAGCTTTGAATCAGTGTTGGTGACACATCATAGACAGCTTAGTAAATAACCAATACTGAATTGTATCTTTAGGCACTTGAGGCTAGTAGACTGTTTATTTTTGCACCAACAAGGTGATTCCCAAAGACCTATTCCCCGAAAACTTAGCATATCTATGCAAAGTCTGCAGTATTTGTTAAAAGATGTTTGTGGTGGCCAAAAACGTTTCAGGCCTAAAACTATCAACAGCAGACAAACAGTGAAGGTTACACTTCTAAGCGTTAAGAAAAGAGTGAGGAATCCAAGTTTGACATTTTTGGTTCCAGTGGTTGTACAAAGGAGGTCCGGAGAGAGAGGTACAACAGTGAGTGTCTACAGCCATCTGTAAAACATGTTAAAGCTGCATTTCAGCCAGTGGTGCTGGTGGTCTCTTAGCATCAGATTTTGATCCACAATACAACACCATCTGCGTCTGATTGGCAGCAGCTTTATTTTTAAGCATGACAATGACCCCAAACACAGTGCCAGTGCAGGAAAAGCATACCTGGATAGACATCTTTCACCTGAATAAACTTAAAGTTATATCTTTTAAAAATGTTGGCATGTTCTGCAGATGGACAGTAGATGGCACCGAATGCCAGTGTTGTGAAATTTAAATGATCTGCTTTCTCACCTGATCCTGAGTGTGTCTCTCCTCATCAGGCTGCCTGAGCTGTCTTTATGTGTAGTTTTTAATGTGCTAATAATGAGATGGGTCATTAAGTCCTGTGTATGACTGGTGGCGCCAGTGTTCGGCAGCCTCACCTCTGTCAGTGCGCCCCAGGGTGGCTGTGGCTACAATGTAGCTTGCCATCACTAGTGTGTGAATGTGTGTGTGAATGGGTGGATGACTGGTTGTTAGCGCTTTGGGGTCCTTAGGGACTAAGTAAAGCTCTATATAAATACAGGCCATTTACCATATAGCTTGTTTGTTTTGTAAATGAACACCACCAGTCTCACTGCAATTCTGTGGCCTGATTGAAGTTAGATTAAATTGCACATTACTTGTTAGTAGATCACAGTAGGTCAAAAAGAACTCAAACAGCTGCTGCATTTTTTTTGAGTGGTTTAAATGGCACAAATTTGTTTCTCTCTATCATCATATTTGTTTTTGTTCATCTGCTGTTGTCAGTTAAGTGAGCGGTTAACAGTCCAACAAGTGAATGTTTTTAAGAAACCCGAGACTCCTCTGCAGCCCAAGACATACAGACCTGAATAATAATCCTCTTCTTATAAGAATAAGCAATGAGATAAATGCATAAGTAAAATAGTTGAATGCACATGTGGCCAAATAATCATCTGGTGTGTTTAACAACTTTTCCAGTTACATTAGAAATTACTGCAAAGTCAGGTCAGATTATATACGTTTTGGTTGGTTAATGGTTAGAAAATAACAAAAATTGCTATCTCATGGAAATTATGCAAAGTGTTACTTTGTTTCTCTGCTAACAGTTCTGACATAGATGACTATAACACAAAAATGCATGCACCATCACCAAAATGTAAAAGTTGCATTTTAAAAATAAGGAACTATATCGATCCCACAGTACGTGGCGTTGCAGCAGTTGTGAAGTCAGTTCAGTCTTATTTGTATAAAACTGAATATAATTCAAATCTGTATGCCGTTGAACTCACAATAGCATCGCCTTTCCAGTTATTTATATTGGGAGTTTAAGATCCTACAATAATACAGAGAAAACCCCAACAATCAGATGACCGCCTGTGAACAAGCACTTGGCAACAATGGGAAGAAGAACCTTCCACCATAACCAGGCTCGGGGAGGGGCTGCTATCATTAAATGCAGAGTGGTAGTAACCTAGGCCACACTACAGTTTAGTACAATTTAGGTGCCTTTAAAAAAAATAATGGACTGAAGTTTTGTTTTTTTTCTTAAGTCGTAACACATTTGTCTTTACTATTTTGCAGATATATTTGATGTCTAAGCTTCACGATGTGTTCAATTCCTGGGCTTCCAGCACCAGGAACAGAAATCTCTGTTCTCATCACGAGGGTGAACCTGAAACCCAACTGTGGTCTTGTGGAATTATGGGTAAACATGGATGATGAGAAGAAACACATTTACGAGCAGATGAGAGAGGAAATTCAGACTCCTCACAGGAAGTTTTCTGGATTAGAAGGGAAACCAGGGGATCTCTGTCTGGTCTGCATCAACGAAACCTGGCACAGAGCTCGGATCGTATCGATTGAAAGTCAAACATACAGTCTTTTTCTAATTGATCAGGGGCAGCCCCACATTGCCGCAAGTGCAGTTTTAGCATGGGCTCAAAATGACAGCTTTCTCCTGCCTCCTGAAATCGAATGTTGCATACTTGCAAATATCTTGTCCCTTGAGAAAAATTTCCCTCATAGAGCTACAAAGTTTTTGATGTCTCTGCCTGGGAAGAAGTTTAGGGGACTCGTTCAATATGTACTGATGCCGGATAGGACAATTCTCCTTGACATACCAGTTGTTTCAAAGCACATGTGCAAGTCTAGAGTTGCAAAGAAGATCCCAGTGGAGGAATTTAAAAATATTGTACTGAAATGTCTAAATTTGCCCAATGATGAGTCTTCTGAGGCCTTTGATGTAACACAGGAACAGAGCCTGAATGTTAGCAGCCAATTTGCTAAACATAACCAATACTTTTACCCAGAGCTGCTTACTGACATTTTGGAAACGGTTTATGTGACTGAGGTAATTGATCCAGAAAATGTTTTTTGCCAGCTTGTTATTCTTTCAAAAGCAGTGAAGATATTGTCTGAACAGATCCATCAACACTATGAAGAGAGCTCCAGTTTTGGAGAGGAACTTCCGCAGAGCTGTGGGGATCCATGTGCTGCTAAAGGGACAGATGGCAGATGGTACCGCTCATTACTAAAGCAAAACATTGAGACCTGTGATGGTGCTGTAAAAGTTTTTCATGTGGATGAAGGAAAAAATGACTTGGTGCCTGTTGAAGACATCAGGCCACTGGCTGGCAAATTCCTGAGAATGCCAGTTATCACATATCGTTGTTCTCTAAATGGAATAAAAGAAAATGGCAGAGAGTGGACTGCAGTGCAGACAGATTTTTTGAAATCACTCCTGCTGAACAAGACTGTGGTGGTGACGTTTGACCACTATGATGCGACTCAAGATGTTTATAATGTTACACTCTATGCAGCTAATGCTACCTGTGTCAACAGTTCTTTTCTGGAGAAGGCAGACTTTATTCCCCTCTCTAAGCTTGAGCAGGATTTAATTGTCCAGAATGAATCTCTTAACTCATCCATTCTCAGTTTACTTGAAGATGAACAATGCATGAATTTACAGAACAAAGTCCATGTCATTCCTGATGGTATACCGGAGGGAACTGCGCCAAGCTCCAAAAACAAAACGGTCAATGGTGGACAAGAGTGTGCATCTCCTTCTTGTAACGGTGACATTTATACAAAAGCAAGCTCTGAACCTGCAGTAGATTGCAATGGGAATACTGCATCAAGTTTCTGCTCTGAGTTGCAAAGTGCTTGTCATGACAGTGCATTCACTGTAGGAAGTAGTGTCACTGTAAAGGTGTCTTGCATTGAAAGCCTACAGAAGTTCTGGTGTCAAATAACAGAAAATGAGGACTCCCTCAGATGCCTTATGCAAGATCTGCAAAATCACTATTCATCCGCCCGCTCTCAGCCACTTATTCAGTCCATCTGCGTTGCCCGTAATCCAGATGATAACATGTGGTACAGAGCAAGGATCGTTGCTAATAGCAATTCACCTGTTGTAGACGTGAGATTTATAGACTATGGTCAAATTCAAAAGGTCCCTCTGCAAGATGTGCACCCCATTGATCCAGCTTTCTTGCAGCTAAGTACTCAGGCTTTCCCATGTTGCTTATTCAGTCTGAAGAGTCCTACTTATCCTGTTACCACTACTTGGAATAGCGATGCCTTAGCAGAGTTTCACAAGTTTGTGGATTTAAGTGCGTCGACAGACAATAGTTTGAAATGTGTTGTAAAGGCAGTGGAATCTGATGAAGAAGGTCTGCTGCTTAATATGGTAGACATTCAGACTGCATCTGGTAGTGCACGCGAGCTTCTGGATAAGATATGTGCACAGTCTGAGGCACATCTGCAATCTCCTCCACAAGTCACATCTGATGTGTACAATTACTCCACATATAATATTGAGGTGGGTGGTAAAGAAAATGTGTGGATAACGTCTTCAGAGACTGTCAATCACTTCTACTGCCAACTGGACAGGAATGCCAAATTGTTTGACAAATTGATG